AAACCCCCTGTTATTTTAGCGAGGTGACAAAAAATGGCACCTGAAAACTTAGAAATCGTTACAAAGGAATGAACTCGTGTACATCCAAAATGGCTGAAAGTGTCTGGTATACTGCATTCTTGCCAAAATATCACTTAGCCTGGATAAACTAGATTCATTTAATTATTATAAAGATGATGTTATATCTTATTTCTGTCCTGCAGACATCAAATAGTACTGAGGTTTGAATATCATTGGATCATTCTCTTAATACAGTACCCTCACATCACTCAGCATTTTGTATTTTGTATTTCTCAATTGTTTGTTGTGATTTGCACACATGACTTGTCGTTCAGTATTTTTCAAATTTAAAGGGACAGTACCTCGACCATTCTAAAGCTTTGTTTGTAAACATTTCTAATAATTTGTAGCTGATAACGTCCATCTCAGCCCGCCTTTAATTCTGTTTTTGATCTAGTGACCGTACCGCGGGTGCAGGCTTATCACGTGACCAGACATTTCTCTTGTTTGGAAACAAATGCAATTATTCTGAAATAAGAACGGATGGGCCTAATACAAGCCTGTTGGTGCGCTTTAATATTGTTTGGCATTATTATGTAGATATACTACAACAACTGCGACAATAAATGCATGATCATATAGCTTTGCACATCAAAGTGACCCGTCGCAAGCTCTCCATAGGCATTGTATTAATTTAGGGCTTCGACGAAAGGACGTGAAGGATAAATAAGCAAATGTAAATAGTTTTTCCCGTTTTAGGATATTTTATAAATGAAAGTTACATATTTTTGACGTATGCTTATCTAAGTGTGTAGACTCATCTGAAATGAAACAAATGAAGAATACATGAATCATTGTGAATGCACAGCGTTAGATGTGACGATGTGATGATATGACGATGTGACGATGTGATAAAGGTAGTTGACTGAGCGCAAGGAACTCTGAGTAGGAGAGTGATTGGCTTCATTCGACAAAGACATATTATTTATATTATATTCTAGGCTTTGATTAGCACTGGCTTCTAATCTATTCAGATGACTGGTAGTATTTTGTAACTCAGCCGTAAGAGAACACATAAGCTGTTCTTCATTTGTTCTCTATTATAAAACAAGATTGAGGCCAGTTTGATTTGAAGAATTGAATTGGGCATGTGACACCACACTCAGAAATTATTTCTTGTATGATTTAAAAACACGCAGAACCGTCGACAGACTGTCCCTTTAATATTGTGGCTATTGTGTGTAATGCAACACACAATATTAACAAATGTGCATGCATGTTTAGCCTGATATCAACATGCAAGGCTCGATTTAAAAAACTTGATTTAACTTGCAGCACGTGCATGTTGACATGAAAACCTAAGATGCAGCAGAAAACATCAAGTTGAACCTTGTTCCCATAACTTTATCTAACTAAATAAATTTCAGATTCTGATGAATGTCATGATTTTGAATACAGTTAGCACATACTGTAACAGCTTTGATGTGGTAATGTCACCAATGGCAACCGTCATATAATGATTATAATGATGATCATCAGTTGGAGAATCTAAATATAAAACGTTATTTGATCATCAGCTTCAGTGACAGATGAAGCAACTGTACATAATCTTGAAGTACGACAGCTTGATGACATCAAGCCCAAGAAGGCATGACATATTCCATGTAACACAGGGATTAGTGATGTGGTATTGTAAATAAAGTTTAGGGTATTCATTGTGTTCAAAGAATGTTGTTGACAAATAAGGTTTCGTCAAGATACAAATTTGAAATTTGTTGACATGTACTTGGTGCATGTAGACATATATATTAGCTTGCATTTTTCAATAAAAGGTTGCACTTGTGCATGTCATTATAGTTAAATCGAGCCCTGATCATGATCAAGGCAATGTCCATTGTGTTCTGTATGTTGCTAAATGCCAGTGTTGGTGTGTGTTTCATGCATCGCTAGGATGAGGAAGTGGTATGTATTACAGTTCTACTGCAATGAGTGAATTTTACAATGCATGCCTTGACTGTTATGTTGAGATATGCAATGAGATATGCAATGAGATATGCAATGAGATATGCAATGAGATATGCAATGAGATATGCGATGAGATATGCGATGAGATATGCGATGAAATATGCAATGAGATATGCAATGAGATATGCAATGAGATACGCAATGAGATATGCAGTGAGATATGCAATGAAATACGCAATGAAATATGCAATGAGATACAATGAGATATGCAATGAGATATGCAATGAGATACAATGAGATATGCAATGAGATACGCAATGAGATATGCAATAAGATACGCTATGAGATGTGCAATGAGATACGCAATGAGATACGCAATGAGATACGCAATGAAATACGCAATGAAATATGCGATGAGATACAATGAGATATGCAATGAGATATGCAGTGAGATATGCAATGAAATACGCAATGAAATATGCAATGAAATACAATGAGATATGCAATGAGATATGCAATATGATACAATGAGATATGCAATGAGATACGCAATGAGATATGCAATGAGATACGCAATGAGATATGCAATGAGATACGCAATGAGATATGCAATGAGATATGCAATGAGATACTAACTTATCATCCTCCATGTCACAGGTGTTTAGGGGGAACCCATCTAAACCAATGCTAATTGGAAGCCACATCAACAATGATCAAGTTTGATTACAGCACCTAATCCACCAGACCCGTGAAGATCTGTTGTAGAATAGGTCTTCAGCAACCCATGCTTGCCGTAAAAGGCGACTATGCTTGTCGTAAGAGGCGACGAATGGGATCAGGTGGTCAGGCCCGCTGACTTGGTTGATGCATGTCATCAATCCCAATTGCGTGGATCGATGCTCATGATGTGAATAACTGGATTGTCTGGTCCAGACTCGATTATTTACAGATCGCCGTCATATAGCTGGAATATTGCTGAGTGCAGCGTAAAACAACAAACCAACCAACCAACCAATTGCGTGGATCAATGCTCATGATGTGAATCACTGGATTGTCTGGTCCAGACTCGATTATTTACAGATCGCCGTCATATAGCTGGAATATTGCTGAGTGCTGTGTTAAACAACAAACAAACAAACAAACAAACAAACAAACAAACAAATGAAACACTGTTCACACATGGACAAAATTATTCACAGGTATTTTACAGAATATTTCATCCAATACACAAACAAATATAGGACGGATGGAACTTTTCTCCACCGAGCTTCCAATTAGACGTATAAGATTATGGTTGTTGGAATAAGATTATGGTTGTTGGAATAATTGAAACTAACTAACATGATTAAATCTAAACTTGTTCGTTAGATTTTTCTGATATTTCTGTTGTGATAAGCTAAATACAAACAATGTCACGCAGTCAGTGTCATTTTTTACGGATTCAAAAAAGGAAGTCCCTTGTAAACATAAGCATCACACATACATTATATTTTATTTACCTTTGAGTCAAGGAGCCTGAACTTTGCTCTTAGCATCCATTTTAGTACATTTTCGTGCTATCATATTTAATGGTATTATCTTACGTTAAGAGACCAAATAGAATTTTACTGACGCGGGCTTCGGGCTAGTGGCTGAAGTTGCAGACTGTTGTTGGTACAGCAGTCACCCTTGGATACAAGTTTTTAAGCCTGGGACCCCTAAAACGTATCAAATTAGCAAATATCTCCGTGGGTGCTTATTAGAGTGGGGCGCTTATTACATCGAATACGGTACTAAGTGTTCCCAGGACTTGCAAATATATAGACTCAGGTAATACCAAGGGTACAAATTTTGATGCCTGAAGCTCCATGCGAAAGTAGATTACCGTATTCGACGTAATAAGCGCCCCGCTCTAATAAGCGCCCACAGCGATATTTGCTAATATATTGGCTAGTGAACAATCCCAATTAGCACCCCTTCCAATTGATCAATGTACACAAGACTTAATTATTTGTGTATAATACACACTCGTGGAATACACATTCTGGAAAAATATATCTGTTGTACATAAACATTTTAGTCTGTCAGCATAAACCACAAAATTTATTTTTCAGCTCTGTTTTTTTCACCAAAATTATATTCTAATAAGAGCCCCCTATTCCTAATTTTGAGAGCGCCCTGGGCGCTTATTACGTCGAATACGGTATATATGTATTGGCTGAATTTCATACTATTCTTTGGTCATAACACTATGAACTGTGTTCCCTTGCCCAGTGAATATTTGTATTTTGTTTTAAGGAGGAAGGGGTGAAGGTATGTAGATATAGCTAGTTGTTCATTAGATGGATGTGTATTTCAGTATATATATCGGTTACCTAGATCTTCATTGGTTCTCTGTCTTCTCTTTGTTAGCTCACCTGGTCCAAAGGGCCATATGTGCTTATATTGTGTGTCATCCGTCAGTACACACTTCTCACTTGCATCGTCTTTCATTGGATTGAACATGAACTTTATGAGAATTTCTGACAATAAAAGGGGCCCAAATATTTGTCAATGATTGAAATTTGTTTTTGAAGGCATAGGAAGCTGTGATGTGATTGACACTGGTATATGTTTTCCAAATTGCCCCATATGCTAAAATATACTCAACAACTAAAGTTCCTGTGACACCAATATTTAAGTGTATTTTTCAAACAAGGTAAGTTTGGTTTTCAGTATTGTGGTACATGTATGGAATCAAGTCACAAAAACGCAACTACTCTAAAAAAGCATGCATTCCATGCAAAAGTTGACTACCCAAGAATGGGTATCAAAACATGTGCGTTAACGGGATTCCATATGTATGTTTAGCATCGTGTTGACAACAACCACTCAGAAAAACAACAAAATTACGCAATTATTCAACATTACCAAATGCCACGCCTGTCCGAATATGACGTCTGCGAGCCATTGGTATGCTTGAAGCAGGATCGAGTCAACGTGATGTTGCAAGACAATTTAACGTCCATAGAAACACCATTTTGTGTTTATGGCAACGTTGGCAACAGACGGATGTAGTCAGAGACAATCCTCGGAGTGGCAGGCCACGCGTAACCAATAATCGACAAGACAACTGGATTCGAACAACACACCTATGAAGTCGATTCCAGCCAGCAACAGTGCCTGCAAGAAGCATCCCTGGCCTTCGACGAATATCTTCACAAACCGTACGTCGTCGCCTCAGATGTGCAGGGATTGTCGCCAGAAGGACCCGTCAGACGTCCCATTTTGACAGGAAACCACTGTCAAGCACGTCTGCAGTGGTGCAGACAGCATCTACGCTGGACGGCCATGCAGTAGGGACAAGTTCTATTCATTGACAATTCTCATTTTTACCTCAGCCACAGCGATGGACGGATTCAAGTGTACTGATGTCGAGGTGAACGTTACGTCAATCATTGTGTCATGGAAGAAGATTGGTTCGGGGGCGGCAGCATTATGGTATGGGGATGGGATTACAGCAAGATAGAGGACCCGTTTGATAGTGGTAGAGGGAAATCTCAATGGACAGCGCTACCGCGACAAGATCATCGGCCCTGTTGTTCTACCGTTTTTGCGTCGTCATGGCCCAGGCATTACCTTTCAACATGACAACGTCACAGGAACTTTTTTTGTTCAGTATACGAGGTGTGATTAGTCTTTCAACAATGTAGCCGCTGGAATGTTAGAAAAAAAGAAATCGTGAGCCCCCAAAAACATTATTGCAAGATTCTTTTTAATTTTTTAATTTAGACTTTTATTATTAAAAATATATCTGGCTTTGCAGCTGCAGCCCCATAAAAAATTCCCTGCCCCCAAGAATGTCAAATGGTCGGTCCATAAATGCATTTACTAAAAGTCATCTCTTACATCAATATGCATTAATTTGGGACAGGTGAGCTACAGGCCTCTTGGTGCTAGTTTTCTAGAGGTGATTCTAATTGTATTTGGTTCTCTGTTAGTTTGAATGGGACATGGTAGTTAGTCTTCTCCTCAGTGTGTGATGGATTTAATTCTTTAATTCAGTTGCTAGAATTCTTTCTTTTCTGAATCTGGAAGAATGCCATATCTATCTGTTTTTTTGTGTAAAATTGCTGTGATAAAATATAATTCACATTATGTGGTGTGTGTTGCTCCATTTTCATTTGTCATCTCGTGTTTTATATCTTTGAAATTCCAGCAATTGAAGTATTATGTTTGTCATATAGGTTAGTTAACGCCCTTGGAACTTACTGTGACGGTACCAGTTGTGGGTATTGGTATAACATTTCTAATATTTGGCCTTTCATTTTTTGGGCATGGTTTATGGATCCACTGACCTAAAAAATCTTAAATTTATTTCATATCAATCAGTTGTATCAAGATAATGTGGTATTTGTCAGTTGCATGGGGTAGTGTTACGGAGTCCCCCGTAATCAATGACAATTTTTGTCTCTCTTCCCTCCCATCACTGGTTTATGTTTTTGTTTTAAAGAACTGTAGGATCAGCGAACAAAATAAGAATGCAATTATAAAATGTGATTTAAAAAAAATGAAAAGTCAAGGGTTACTTCCCCTATACTGACAAACTTTGAATTATTTTCACAACTGAAAATCGTTTGTAGACTTAGCAGGAAGTAAAAAAGACTTTTCAAAATATTGTTTAATCATATTTGTCAGTCTTATTAAAATCAGATGTTAGTGCTCGCTACAGCTTTGTGTAGTGGTAACATGCACAATGATAGATTTTAATGAAGTTGAACATTTGTGATTTTTTTTTTTTTTTCTATATGCAATGAAAGAAATATGAAAAAAATAATATTTTCAATAGCTGTTGATCAGGTAAAAGGTAGGTAGCATTTCTTTATTAGTCGTTATTTTCATTAATATTGATAATTGGATGTGGAATATGTTTCGAGTTGCAGGTAAAGCATCATTCTTGTCAGTGCTGCATCTGCCTGATACGTCTTGTGACTAACCCTGCCACATTGATGTTGTCGTAAATGGTCACAAATCAGTAGAATATGTCGAGACATTGGATGTTTGCTTTCTGTTGTTCATTGCGCTTTGTTGTAGAGTTGTATGCACATGACACATGGTTTGTTTCAGCAGCTTCAAAAAGGAGAGTATTTGATGACATAAATGTGAAGTCATACTGCATAATACCTGTCATATTCTGTTATAAAAGATCATCTTCATTTCCTAATACACACTATGGCAGAGTTGAGCCCCTTGGGCACGCCAGAAACCTATGATTGTTGGTTCGAATTCCGGTTCGCCCCGATTATGTTTCTAGGTTTGTCAGCACCATACCCGTGCTTGTGGGTTTCACCAAAGTGGTAAACGTCCGAGACCTGCATCACTTGGGGCTTTCCTCCCACATTAAGCTAACACGCCTTGATATAACTGGAATACTGTTAAAAGCAGCGTTCAACTCAACTCATTCACTCACTAATACACACTATGTAAATAGTGAGTGAGTCTGTCAGTCAGTCAGTGTGTGAGTCAGTGAGTGAGTCAGTCAGTCAGTGTGTGAGTGAGTGAGTGAGTGAGTGAGTC